TCTACTCTTCTTTAATAATAATATTAATTATTATTATTCTTATAATTTTTTTTACACCTATTTTTTGCACCTAGCCAAAAGGAGCTTGGACGGTAGAACGCGTTTTTGCATGAATATAAAACAAAAAACCATATAATACAAAGAAAATTTAAATCGTTTTGCATTGATTATTTAAGAAATCTTCATTCTGCTTAAGGAGGTTGACTACCTTAAGCAAATGTCAGTCAGTTTTTAACTAAAACTTGTGCAGAGCTTCAAAAATGTATAAAAAATATTTATGCTAAGTTTCAACAACTCTGGGTGCTTATGAAACGAGAAATTAATGAAACAAATTTTGTGAATTTTACATGCGTTTTTATGGGAGATCGCCAAAAGCCACTCTTATTAATAAAAAAATTTTGATACAATTACTTAACAGTCAGATTTGGACAAAAGTGTAGCCAACAGTAAATTAACAACTGACTTTTTATTATGTAAAACAATCTCGTCGATTACGTCTTTTTAAAAATAGTCATTAATGAATAATCTGGAGTGTTAATACAACTCAATGTTAAATTACGGGACATGCGCACGCATTTCTAACCTAGAAAAGGTACAAAGTTGGATCTCTTTTTCTTGCACCTCCCTCCAAAAGTAGTCAACCACCTGAAGTGTCGATAAATCACTTGTAAAAAAAGATTTAAAAGCATCAGGATTTATTGAGAAACATGATCACTAGGTATTTTATCGATCTTCACACGGACCCCTAAAAGAAATTATATTTTAAAATAGCGTTACCCAACTTGATGTCACAGATATTAAAGTATATGGGTCACAAGAGGTACGACTTCTGTGTAAAAATTGATTAGATACACTTAAAAAAAAAAAAATTTACCATCGGTAATAAAGTTATTAAAGTACTTTTTGCCCTGGGACCCAAAGTGATTTATTGGGCGCATAGTGTGCCCATGGGCACAAAATTGCACTATATGCCCTCAGTAAAAAAAACGTTACACGTGAATCTATGGAAAAACAAAACCCCATTTGAAAAATTAAAATTAGATTAAAAGCAACGAAAACAATAGTTTCTAGTGAATTTTTCAGAATTGCTGTACCCAATAGTAACTTGAATTAAAGTGAATCTGAAATTAAAAAATTACAATTCAACCAATGAATAATTCAATCACGACAAGCTTTGTCCTTCAATTGCTTAACATAAGAACCTTATTTCTGGGATGTAGGGCAGCACCATTAACTGCTTTGCATGTATTAGTTTACCTATGTATATGCACCTGAACCTCCTTTTTTATTTTATTGCAAAAATAACTTGTCAATCCCTCTGAGAATTGAATATAATATCAGTTTTATGGTATTGTGTCAAAAAAAAAAAAATTGATCGAATTCTACTCACCATTTTCTTATAAATTTCATTTTTATGTAACTCCTCCACAAGGTTACTTGTTAGACTGAAGTTTTTTCAACATTGAAAATCTAGAAAATGTTGTTGTGGAAAGGTCTCAAATTGAACATGTAACTTTCTAATATCATTACGAACATCCTGTCAAAATTTCAGGAAGATACTACAGAAAACGCTATGTGTGATGAACGTCCTTAAATCACGACGAGCTCGAGTTACACATTTCAATATAATCCTCGCCTGTACAAAACGCCTGATGCATCGCAAACAGCCATTTTCAAGATCGAGACAACTACCAAAATGAATAAAAGTGAGTGCAGAAGTTGCGCTCGTAATCGTATAAGGTAAAAATAGGGTGGATGATGAAACAGGGCTACTCGACAATATATTCAGTGGCACGTTTCACGCGCCCGAAAATCTCAAAAATAGAAAAGCACCGCTGAGTTTTGAGTCGACGTGAATCACATTGTGCCATCTTGCGTCCTTGGCTACTATATCTATTGCGAGAGTTGTTTTATTTTCATCAAATCCGCTAGCCCCCCTACTTCACTAGATATATACGTATGCACTCAGAGATAAGCTGAGGCTCTGGAGTACTATATGCTTGCTCCTTGCTTGCTTAGTTACTTACATTGATTGAGTGTTATGGGTCCTTAATATCGCACATTTCTTGGGCTAAAGCTCGGGATAAATGTGTGGTGTGTATAAATTGACGCGTCTACTCTTCTTTACATTATTTTGCTTCACTCTTACAATTACTTAGGTGTTTGCTATGTGATGCGCTTTAAACGAGTGTCATCTGTGTAACAGATACTAAGAGTCACTCAACGACATCCAACGTGGAGCATTTTGGGGAAATCCCTCTAAGCTAATGTGTTAAGTCTATTCTGCTGCTGCATAGACCTATTGCGCAGCAGGATAGACTTAACGCATTATAGCTTATGGGGACAATTCTATCGTGCACGCTCTATTACGTACCATGGGACTACACCTTTTTTCCGAAGTCACGTGTCAATGGGATTAATAGAGAAGCTCCGGTGACCTCAGGTAGTAGTATAGGTACTCCTATGACCACGTACCTACAAATTCGATGTTTTTAAAATGTTTTTAACAGATTTTTATTGATTGCACCATAAATTGTTACAGAATTTTGCTGACTGAATCTAGAAAGTATGCAATTTATCAAATAATGTATTGTTTTTGGAAAGCCACTGCATTTAAAAAAATATTTTGTCTATGTGATCAAATAAATTAAGGTTCAATGCTTGTAAGGTCAATTGGTACAGAGATTAACTTTAACATTCATTTACTTCAAATAAGGACTTATGGAAAACATTGAAGAGATTCAAGGTGATTTTAAACACTTTAAAAATATCTTTCTAAGGTTTTACCATGATGTACGCATTTTTATCTGATTCCTGACTATCCTTTAATATTATTTCAACGTTTGTTTACTCTCTCGTAGGAATCATGTGGGGTAGGCATGTATGACACGAGCAAACCCACTTTCAATAGTCTTAATCATGCATAAATCCTTAAAAGAAAATTAGAAAAATACAACGTACTGTTGCCTACAGTTCTACTATAATTTATTACTGAATTTAACTCGTTTACGTAATCCATACGTTTTATTAACTGATTATTTACACACTCTTCCTATGTATTTTTTGTACATTTTGTGATATTTTGTACCTCTTAAAATCTATTCTTCGATGATAATTTTTCAAAGTGCGATTTCAAAACATCAGCTTTGTTTATTGTAACAATAGAGCCCACAATGCGTTATGCAGGTGCGCTGGACTGTCAATGTAGTAAGCTTTAATATACTTCTACATGGAAAACTGGAACAACAATAATCGATCATTGTTGTGCTAATAAAATCATCTATGATGTAAATTTCTACAAATTTTGTATAACTCCTTCTCTTTTCACATTACTCTGACATTCTCATTAACATGATGAATAAACTATAATTCGACGATGCATTTATACAAAAAATTTTTATGTTTTCATGATGTACTTATGATACACCAAACGTGTTTGGTAACAACATCGTATTTTTATTGATTCCAGGCCGAAATCTGGAGTGTCTTCATCGCCATCTTGAGAAAGAGCGTCAGAAACTTGCAAGCATGTACGGACGTAAATCTCATTGAGCACGTGCTGCACCGGTTAACGCGGGCAGAAACCGTCGTTGCAGGTAAATAAACCTTTTGCATGTACGTTTTATTTTCATCCATTTTTTATTTTTGAAAAAGTCAATTTTTTTTTCAATGAAGGTGTTGGTACGATTTTTGTTGATAGTTTATGAACAAAAATATAATTCTAGCTTGAGAAATTTTTTGATAAAAGTGTATAGGTACAGGAGGTAACTAAATTTTCTTAGGTCAGCATCAAATGTAGACCATGATTTTATTGATATAGTTAGGAGTAGAATCACCTCATGAAATCTACAAGCTACCAAATTGGTACAATAAGTATTAATGACAAAATCTTCAGGCAAATAACACAATCATTATCATGTGGGGTACATTTTACATTTTCTGAATTAATTTTGATTATAGATATAGAATAAGTCTTTATTACACATGTACAATAATACTGTTCAAAAAGAACTAATGCATAATGAATATAAAATTAATCTAAGGAAACACCCTAATAATATCAATGAATATAATGTAGGAGGTCCCAGCATCCTAGTGTCGCCATATTAGACATATGTAAAAAAATAGTTTATATTATGCTGAATCGAAGGGTACCCTTTTTTATATCCTTAACCGGAAAAAATATTGAGAAATTTGTGATTGAAATTCTCTCTTTTAACCAGAACGCTTACGGCAGGTGTACTAAGATAAATGATTTTCAACTCCAATCAAAAGTGTCGGGTATTATCAGTACATACTTATTGTAGATTATAACTACATTTTTCAAATGCCGTCGTGAAAAAAATAGATAACCGAAACAAATTTTGAGATATATTCTATTTATAATTGATCGACTCGTCGTGTTTCCGTAGGTAAGCCTACGTTTTTCTTGTGGCAGTGGTCCCAACAATCAAAGATTTTTGAGCAAATTACGGCTTCAAGATACATGTTAGTATCCCTACTCGCTGAAACCTTCTTAACTAAATTTAAAAAAAAAATAATAGTTTAAAAAACTAAAGAACACGCTTTTAGCATGCATTAATTTATGGTATTGTGTCAAAAAAAAAAAAATTGATCGAATTCTACTCACCATTTTCTTATAAATTTCATTTTTATGTAACTCCATTGGAGTACATATTTTTAATATTATGAGAGTTAGATTGTTATATTTTCATGTGATGAAATGGTTTATTAAGGGCTAAAACATCTTTTTTAAGGCACGAAGTACAGTTTAACCTAACATCAAGCTACATTTGTTCACCTCAAAGCAGGCGCAACAGCGACAGCAGCANATAATAGTTTAAAAAACTAAAGAACACGCTTTTAGCATGCATTAAGAATTACAAAATAATTCGGACATTCAGTTTCATGACTCAAGAGTTTTCACTTTGCTAAATCTTCATTAGATCGCAGGTAAACATAAACAATTTCAGTTCGTGATGAACGATAAATAATTACCTATGCAAAATGGTTATAAATAGGTAATTATCTTTATTAAATAGTTACTATGATTTATTATGAAAGAAAGCGTGGAGCATTTTGTCCAAAAAGAGTAAAGATTACATAAACACTCCACGCTTTCTTTCATAATAAATCATAGTAACTATTTAATAAAGATAATTACCTATTTATAACCATTTTGCATAGGTAATTATTTATCGTTCATCACGAACTGAAATTGTTTATGTTTACCTGCGATCTAATGAAGATTTGGCAAAGGGAAAACTCTTGAGTCATCAAACTAAATGTCCGAATTATTTTTTAATTTTTATTGCGTGCTAAAAGCATGTTTTTTAGTTTTTTAAACTATTATTTTTATTTTATACTTTTTAGTCTTATAAAAGGTCGACCTACCCAGAGGTCCATGTAGAGAGGCAAGGCTAATTACAATAGGGTTGCGTATGGTGCCCTAAAGTGACGCTAGCGACATGATATTTCTTACCACTCTCATACTATTCAGCCCTCCGCGCGTATCCTACCTTGGCTTAGGTGGGATCTCATAGACTTAAAGTCCAATCTTCGTATTCCTCTTGTCGGACCTTATTGATTGATACCCATGACATTATAATTTGGTAAGAAAATGTCATTTCGCATTATTTTCAGCAAACCCTTTCATTTCATACCTAAATCATAGGGCTGCATTTCAAATAGCCAATCTGCCATCTTGGATGTCTGCCATGTTGGATTTAAGTCACGTGACTATTTTTTCGTATTCCTGACAGCAAACCCTTTCATTTGATACCCATATCATGGGGGTGGATTTCCAACAGCCAGTCCGCCATCTTGGGGAGGCCGCCATATTGGATTTGTAATGACGTTTCTTAGCTAGTCATGTATTGTCATCAGAACTCAGAGTGTGTGCAAAATTTTATCCTAATCGAAGACTGAGAAGTGGGTCAAATTAAGATTCCAAGATTTTTTTACATACATATAGTTAGTTACAAATGAAGCTAAAAAAAGCGTGTTGGAAAAATTTAACATACATTTTTCATGAATGTTTTTACCGTGCCTCGTATTGTATTTAGTTATAATAAGAAAGTACATATCAGCAAGACTTTTCTATTTTTGTAGTTATGAAAATTAAAAATAAAATTGCACTACAATCATCACGTACTAGTGAAACTCTAGAATCACTTCCGTTAATTACGAAACTTTTAATTGAACCAACGCCCGTGAACTAGTTCAAATCTGCGGGCAGAAACAATCAGTCTCAATTAGTGGTTTTGGATGCGCGTCCAATTAACAAGCTGGAAACAACAAAAAAAAAATCGTATGCATCTATGTCCTCTCAGTTCAAATGTAGTGGTGTTTTTCAAGCGCTTGCTGAAACTTCTTCTTTTTTTGGAAGTGCTCACCGACGTGATAATAATACGCCCTTCGTCCTCACCCTCTGATTCCCGTTGGCTTTCAAAGAGCGCGGGAACTCTTCGTGTTACTGATATTTTCATTGTTCTACATATTTTTTTTTACTTCTGGGCTTCTTACGTACCTTGACTTCTGAAAACCAGGAATATTTCGCATGCGTAAAAAATACACGATAATTTAAAAATGAAAAATGTGAAATACTTAGTTTTTAATACAAACAATAATTACTTTGAACAACATTGTAGATTACTAAACAATGCATTGTGTAAGGAAAAAAATGGGTCAATCTAACCCAAAATTTGGTTGATCTAACAAAAACAAAATAGTTGCTGTAACTAATTTATTTTAGTTAAAACAATTGATTCTTTGGTTACCATAAGAAATTAAATAGTTATCCGAATCAACTTATTTGATTGATGTTAGATCAATTATTGCCTCACAATTAGTACACCCAAGCACATTCACTGTGTGCTTCTGTGGTGGTGTCCTCATTGTCATTAATTTTCTAATGACTGTATTAGTAATTTCTACTAAATAAATAGTTAACATAACTATTTTTAACTGTTTTTCAATAGTTGAACTAACTAAAAACTTTTTTTCGTATGGTATTAAAAATTTTGTTCTAAATACACTTAGGTATCTGTTAATTGAGATTTTAATTTAAAAAAAAATAAGAAGTTATAATAACGTATACAAACATACGATTTTAAAGTATATTATTGTAATGTGTATATTGTATTTTTTTAAAGATTTAAACAATACGTAATTTCACTTTTTTTAATGGTTACATTTAAAACTTGGTACAACCAACGTCGATCATTTAAAAATTATTCTCAAGTTGTACATCTTACACTATAAGACTTATTATGTTGTTTGTAAGATATTTCTATAAAACCTGAAAGAAATAAAGAAAACAGATTTTTGGTTTATTAGGACTTTTTATCTTGTTAGTAAGATGTTTCCATAAAACCTTAAATAAATGAAGACAACAGCTTTTTTGTTCATTTTTCCAACAAAAAAAAACACTCAAGATATCAGGATTGAATGCACACCTAAACCACTGTTAGACGCCTTGCAAGTTCATTGTACTCCATCCCTTTGTTTTTTTATCATCTTTTATGTTTGATCCACAGATTTACTGATCGACATGCTTGGTGTGCTGGCAAGCTACAGCATAACAGTGAAAGAGCTGAAGCTTTTGTTCGGAGCGATGAAGGCAGACAAAGGGAAATGGGTAAGCCTTTTAAACCTCGTGTTGTCTATACCCAGTCAGCCTCCACGTGGTGTCATACCTCTCTCTCTGTCCCTCTTTTTTTACTCTCTTCTTAATCCCCGAAATCTAGCTCTTTCTCTATCGACCATCCACCAGCGCAACGAAATCAATTTCTCTTATGATTTTTGCAGCCCCGGCATTCGGCGAAGCTTTTGAATGTTTTGCGGCAAATGCCACAGCGGAATGGACCCGACGTCTTTTTCAGTTTTCCCGGACGAAAGGGATCGGTAAGTCGATTAACTTTCTTCTATTCTTCCTCGTATGCTTGCCTCTCCCTCTCCTTATTGGTATTGCCTTTTTTTCAAATATTTTGAGCAGAGTGAGGTTTACAACACCCAGGGGCCCGATTCTCTAACTTTCGTTACGAATTACGAATCGAGTCGAGTTGAGTAGATTTTATGATTTTCAATGGTTAATAATGATTAAACTACTAGTGATCAAAAGCAATTTGATTATTACTTCGATTCTGAATGTTTTAGTTAAAAGAGAATGAGATAAAAAAATTTTTAATGGGAAAATACTGCACTTCTCTCGCTAAAAAACGAAATTTTTTGCAATTTTTTACGCTTTAGGGTTCTGAAATTTTCGTAGTCTTTGATGTCATGGACTTGTAAACCGTCTAGCTGTCATCTTGATTTCTTATGTTGTTATAAATACAAGTAAATTGATGAATGAAATTTTCTACTCGACTTGACTTGATTCGATTCATTCCACTCGTGATTCCTAACGAAAGTTATAGAATCGAATCTCTTACTGTTAGTTAAGGCTGCGTGACCAGTATAAATAATTATCATTACTTATGCTGCCAATTTTATGTGTATAGTTTACAGGTGAATTGATTTTTTTATCTTGTTGAGACATCTATGCCTGTACTTTTTATTAAAATTTTTTGTCCTCTTATACTACACTTAGAATTACGTGCTTTTAATGCCGATAGAATGGTTATAAAACTTTGCGGCTTGCCAACAAGGGCAAAAAAAACGTGTTTTGATTGTGACGTATCATGATTCAAGCTTTTTCAACAATAATGTTCTTTTCAAAATAGTAAATTTTACACAATTATGAATAATTTACAAAATAAAAATTAATTTCTTAATCAATAACTGATAACTTCGCAAAGACACACTACATCCAAAAATTTTACGGGTTCTAAATCTTTATTTTAGAAGGACTGACTTGAAAAATTCGAAAGCCTTTGACTTTGTCTATAGGTGATAAAAAAGTTTGAAAAAAATTGAAAAGTACGCTTAATCTCCGTAGAATACTGATAGCTATAAACTAGAGTACCTCAACACAATTTCGAACATTTGTGAGAGCATTTTTCGCGAATTTTTTTGGGATTATTAGATTTTAGGACTACCACGTCAATAATATACAACTCATACGCCATTTTTTTGGTGTTTAAAAGTGTATAAAAATAATGTAATGTTAAAATTAATGAGTTAGAGGTCAAATGATAAGAGCTCGTTACGCTAATTTAGCTACTATTTTCAATTTAAAATAAATGTAATGGTCTTTTCTGACATAATTTATGTTGTTACTTCAACGAAACAGTACTCTCTTTATTGTTTAATAAAGTATTTTAAAATAAATATCTGTAAATGGCATTCAATGGACTAGGTCATGGAAAAATCCGTTTTTTTTTTTTTTAAAAGACCCACATACCTTATAAGATGGAACATAAACATTAAAAAATAAAAATACATGAAAGAAGCTTGGTGTTGAGCAATTAACACCAGTTTTTTTAATTGCGTCGAGCTTGGACCTCATTAAAACTGTATTCCAGCAGTGACCGCAATGCTCACCTCATAAATACGCTTAAATATACAATCAAGCTTTCACTTTTTAATTAAACGGATGCAAACAGAAGTTTTATCTTTGATGTAGATTTTTTTTTCGTAACCGAGAATCCAAGCTCTCGAATATTTTTCCCTGCCACCCATAGCGTCTCCAATAATTATTAATATCCAGAAGACCATGATATTATTTAACCTCAATAAACTTCCAAGTAACGACTGTAAATCCATAAGTCGTACAAAAAAATTGATTAATCCATGAAATCCCCAGAAAAGTAAACAACCATCTCACCGAAGCCCATAACCGAAACGCGCGTGATTTTTGGGACTTGTGGCTGGGGAGAACGATCGATTGAAACTTTTAATGGGCTCTACGCTCAAATTTTTATTTGTGCAGGCAATCGTCCTGCCACCATTAGCGAAATGGCCACACGAGAGCGGCTTCACGTTCACAACGTGGTTCAGGCTGGACCCCATCAACTCCGTTAATATCGAGCGCGAGAAGCCGTACCTGTACTGGTGAGTATGCACGTGTCCACGCCCACGTTCGCACATCCGTTTATAGCTGGAGGCTGAACCACGCCAATGCCCAGCCGGCGATAATTGCTTTTTAAATGCGCACCAAACCCTGACCCCCTCCTCTCTTCTCCACCAAGTTAATTACTTTGCAAAAGTAAACCCCCGCGATGGTGCAGATATCAAAGTTTTTAATCCTGCACTTCTTCCCTACCTCCACCGCTGTGTCTCGCACCTCGTTTGTCCATCAACTTAAGTAGAAAATGACGGTCTTACCAAAGTCACGGTTGTCCCACTACTATTTTCTAATACGTGATTTTACTTGTTGGATGATTTTTTATGACGGTTTGTTCATTTGAAAGTTGAAAATAACGAATGAGACTAGAACATATTTATTTTTTACTTAAACCTAGAAAATTGAAACTTAAATTTTATTTTGCACTACTCAATTAAAAATTGTATACTTACATGTACCATGTGACTGTTGCACATGCAGTTTTAAAACCAGCAAAGGTGTGGGATACTCGGCGCATTTCGTGGGTAATTGTTTGGTTCTTACGTCGATGAAAGTCAAGGGCAAGGGCTTCCAGCACTGTGTCAAATACGAGTTTCAGCCACGAAAGGTATTTTCAGATCATAGCTATATACTTAAGACTTTTTACTTTTATGTATACAAATTATTAAATTTGTATTTTATTTAACATATTGTTACGTACTATAGTTATGCGTGTAACTTGAATAATTTACTTATTAATTTTTAAGTTTTGGTTATTTATATATTCATGCAAAAAAATAATATTTGACATAAAAAATACAACTGCTACATGTTTCAACAGAGCAAGAAGGACATTATAATTTTTATGATATACAAAGCGATGAAAATTTCGATAATTCTATTTAGTACATATCAAATGTATTGAGTATCTCACTTTAATTTTTTTTTTTAATGTTTTCGATGTTTGAATTCAAACTTTAAGTACAAGAAAATCTTTTTTAAGTGTTATGGAAGTGATGTAATAAACAAAATGGAGTGTATACATATTTATAAATTATTTCATACAAAGCAGTGCAGTAATATTTTGGATAAAATATGTTGTGTATATCTTGTTAAACGTACATTATCATTGATTATTCAAATTAATAATCACGTATTTTATGTAATAATTTGATGATCATGTTTCGCTTAGATGGTATCAGAACACTTGAGTAATGTTACAAATAAATTCATTCGATAAATAATTACACGACTATCTGTAAAAATCTTAATAAAACTTTTTCATCAGTTAATATTTTTATTACTCTCATTTCTCTGTAATTTCGATTGTTCAAGTTCATTATTATTTTTGAATGGAACGGAGTTGTATCATACTAAAATAACACCTTAAACGTATTATTAATATAACTTAAAATGTATTTCAACCAAGCTGAGATATATTAAAAAATTATCTTTTAACTTGATAAAATACGTTTCTGTGACGATGCATTTTGTATTTGTATGCTTCAAATGCTATGAACGGCTAATCAGAAGCGAGTTACAATAAATTTTCAATGTAACTGCAGTTTTTCAACAGTGATATCCTTAATATTGGATAAAATAAAACAGATTAAACGAGTGAATATTCCTGAACAATGAACCGTTATACTTAGTGAAAATAATTTTCATCTCAACTTAAAAAACATAAATTTTTATCAGTAAAATGGTTAATTTTTCGTAATGTTATTACGTGTTATTTTATAAACTCAATCGAGGAACAATATTATTATATCAAGAGATTATGACAAAGCCTAAACATGGATTTATTGCACTTTTTGCTCTAATGAAAATTTAAAGTCTTATTACATTCTGCATGCTTGTTCTGTAAAAATTAATGGTTTTATTTTAATAACTACTTTTATACCTGTATAATATGAATTAGGAAAACATTGGTCTTGTAATAAAGTGTACTTGGGCTCAAGAACTGATATTTTTCCAACACGACTACTCGTTCAATTAAAATCAACCAAATAATAATTTCAATCATAAAAATGTTTAGCGTCGTAAATACTTACATTTTTTATAGTTAATGTAAATTGACTTATGTATTACATGGCACCTACCTTAATTTTACTTCAAATACTTGGTGTTAATGATACCTGATAAAGCAAACATGTCCAGAAAAAAATCTAGTTGGGGTAGCAAAAAAAAGTATAGTTAAAAAATAATTAATCGTTACCCAAACAGTTAATGGTAATAATAACTCAACTGTAATTCTATCTACTAAAAATTAGTTGGAGTGATGAATTTCGTTTGGTTGAGTCAGCTAAGAAATTTGGTTGTTTTTTTCCTCGTTTGCAAACTTAATATATTTACTATTATCAATAAAACTGAGAACACAAATATAGTGAAAAAAAAGTGTACTTTGCTTCATCTATACTCGAGTAATATACTAGTGGTCGAAGTCGTGAGCCCACGTGTACTTTTACTATTTACGATCCATCGTAAAACAGCGATCACGATTAAAATCCTGTTCGAGCAGCTGCACTTATTGTACGCTGATTTTCTAAGCGGGACTGTTTCATAAAAAATTTTAACATTTATCTTTGCTGGCCATTCTTAATTTCACTGCAAAATCAATTTTTCAATTTCAACGATGGCATATGTACTATATTGGGCAGTTATTATTTTGGAAAACAAATAAAATGGCTAAAGTTGAATAGATGGAAAGTTTACCTCGGTAGTGCTTCATCTTATAAAATTTTATCTCTAATTCCAGTGGTATATGATTGCGGTTGTGTACATATACAATAGGTGGACAAAAAGCGAAATCAAATGTCTGGTCAATGGCCAACTAGCCTCGAGTACCGAAATGGCCTGGTTTGTCTCGACAAACGAGGTAAGCGACTTCCTGGCTTACCCTCTTATTCATGTTTATACCCTGTAATTATTTTTTTTTTTTTTTTTATTCTCCTCGCAGCCGTTCGACAAATGTTATATTGGTGCCACACCGGAACTCGACGAGGAGCGCGTCTTCTGCGGACAGATGAGCGCGATTTACCTTTTCAGTGAGGCACTGACCACGCAACAAATTTGCGCGATGCATCGATTAGGTCCTGGATACAAGGTAAAGAAAAATTGCATCAGTATTTTTGTTTTCGATCAACGCCTTCGAAAAATCAATTCAAAACTAACTTGTAAGATTTAGTTTATGTTGAATTGTTTGGTTAGTTTGATGTATTTATTTATGAAAAAGTTGAGGACTACATAACAAAAGCTCAGTAACAATTTTTTTTATCGCTACAAACTATCTATACACTCAAACAAATCCTTGCCAGGCCATATATTTTTGCGTTTGATAATCAGTAGTATAAGTCAATAAAGCGTCAGACACCACAAACTTTTACGTACGCACATCAAGGTGTGAACATGACACGAAAAAAATAGCTGTAAGCTATGTGCGATGGTTGTCAAGTTGAGACTAATTTTTTGAAAATGCAAAAATTGCAGAGTCAGTTCCGGTTTGACAACGAGTGTTACCTAAATCTGCCTGACAATCAAAAAAGGGTGAGTGATGAGCTGGAGTTCGCAAGCATGATGGACCAAAGTTTGATGAATGTAAGCATTCCCTTTTGATTTCCGTTACACTTTTTCTTTTTTTTATTTTTTTATTTTTTTATTTAAATTTCAATTTCAATGCGAATCGCGTCAAAAGCAAAGCCGCTATCATTGACTTTCATGTGCGGTTGTATGAAATACCAATTACCTCCACGCGCGTAAAAAACCATCCGTTTTTAACTCGACTCTCCTTCATCTGAGGTAATTAATACAACAAGAATGAAATGTACACTCGCATCACACGGGTGATCGGTAACAACTACATGTATTGTATACGTGTATGTTTTTTGTGTTGTAGCTGTACGTAAATTTTTTGAATCCTGCTTGTGTTGTTTTTGTGAAATTTATTACTCAGTTGATGTTTGTTTGTTTTTGTCTATACTTTTCACACGATTTCCGTGCAGTTTGGCTTGTCGAGATTAAGTCTCGTGTACAAGCAGTGCATGAAAATCTGTACATTTTTACCATTCTCGTGTAGAAACATCCTGTAAAAGAGTTTGTATATGTTTGTGAACGCAATTTTATTAAATTGGTATTATTTTTACTTAGCAAACCAATGGTTTTGTCATCGTTTGTGATACTTGTGTAAAAAAGTTTGTAAAAAAAAGATTTTGATTCAATCGTCTAGTTTTTGTTGGTTCAGTTTGCCAAGTTAAAGTGTAAGTTTTCATGTATAAAAATCAAATTTGAAGCGCAAAAAGTGGATCAAATCTTTTTTTACTAACTCGCGTGCATCACCATCGTATTTTATAATCAAATTTCACGTGTATCCCATCACTCTGTCCCTCTTTTCAGAGCACGCGTATGAATGCACGTCCCCGTTCGAGCTTGTACTCCCCGTTCCGTTCGATGTGTTTTGTCTAGAGCTTGAATTCCATTTGTAGCTTATCGAGCGGATCTCACTTAGCTGTAAAAATTTTACGAGCTCCACGCACACTTCTTTCCTACGCTGTCCTCCACTTTTACGGCCATTTCGATTTAAAGTAGCCACCAAAGAGCCATCAATATCCACCGTTAATAAAGACTTTTCTGATGTCGACGCAGGTGCTCTACGATGGAAAGCTATCCACGGCAATTATGTTCATGTACAATCCGGTAGCCACGGACTCGCAGCTGTGCCTGCAGAGCGCGCCCAAGGGAAACGTTTCTTACTTTGTACATACGCCACACGCCCTCATGCTGCAGGTGAGTCGGTCGTGTACGCAACGACAAACCACCGAACCGACAAGGTGCCGTTGTTGGCTGCGATTTAACTACATCTCCTTCGATGGTTTTTTTTTTTTTTTTTTTTTTTTTTTTTTTTTTTTTTTTTTTTTTTTTTTTTTTTNNNNTTTTTTTTCATTGCAGGATGTCAAAGCTGTGATCACGCACTCGATTCAAAGTACGCTGAACTCCATCGGCGGGATCCAAGTTTTGTTTCCTCTGTTCTCGCAGTTGGACATGCCTTATGACTGTATAGCGCCCAACGATATCAAGCGAGACCCGGCGCTATGGTGAGAATCACTTATTTTGATGTTCTGGACGAAAAATTTAGTCAACGAGTTGGCATTAGCTGCTCATTAGACTTTCATAACTTTATTGCTCCAACTTTACTTTGGGTCGTAAAAACTTCTGTCTGGGAAACGAGGTTTCCCATAGATGAGTTTCGTCCCAATGCATCTTCATAACTTTTTGACATTCCTTTGATCCAATCAGATTCAACTCAACAAGAATTTTATTGCTCTTTGCGTAAGTTTTATCCCCTTTTTTATTCCCCAATAGTTCGAAACTGCTGGGATTCATATGCGATCTGGTCGAGAGTTCGCAAACAGTCCAGCAGCACATGGTGCAAAACAGGGGCTTTCTCGTGATTAGCTACATGCTCATGAGGGCGAGCCGGGATCATCTCACGACGGAGGTGCTCGCCTCCTTTTTGGAGCTCACGAAACATCTAGTTACGTGCCTCAGCGCTAACAGTGACCTTCTGCTGAAACAGGTATTTGCCGTCACCTTACTGCATTGGTTTCATTTACGCGTCAGTGATTTTGCTTTACAAATCACAGTAGACGTTGTCAAACAAAAAAAAATGAACAGAGAGAAGTACCACATAAAGTTTTTCCTTGATTACAGAAAATTTAGCTAAAGAGTACCATAAAATTCGTAAGGACACGAACAATAATCTATTAGTTTTTCCTTTTTTCCATCTACCAGAGAATTTATGATCACCTTTGAGTCTACTCCTAAGTTTCAGGTAGTCTGGACGTGTTCGAGAATCGAACGAAATTTGAAGCTGTGAAATATGATAAAACAGATAGCTGCACGGCCACGTACACCTCGCTTATCATTTCTTATTTCGGTCTAAAATGACATCAGCATTGAAGTTTTTGATAGTAGACTATTAATTTATCGCAAATTTACTTTCGGAATTTTGACAATGATTGTCGCTAACTCATGTTTATTATTATATTAGAGGGGACTTGAATTCACGGTATTGATTGTTTATTCAAAACTAAAAGATAATTATATTAGTTTCCTTTTTCATACTCTCCGTGCTCTTTCATAGAGGTACCAAGTATGAATTGCAATATATATTGAACTTCTTTGGCAAATAGTGAGTGCGTATGGATAATGTGGGTGCAATATAATGGCATACGCAACAAAAAAATTATACTTAAATGATCGAGTGAAAGAATTAGAGTTTGATTAATTTAAAATAATAAGAGCTGACTGCTTGTTTCTAGTTAATGTAGAGTCTACTCTCAGAATTTTATATAATTTCGTCATTTTAGTGTGGAATAAAGTATAAAACAGTAATTTTTTTTTTTTTATGAAGAAAGAATAAAGAAGACCTAAAAATTAATGACTTCACTTTTTTATGATTAATAAATATAAATCAGTAATTGTTATTTTCATCACTTTCTTATTTGTTGCTTTCTATGAGATGTAGGCAGTTTATGATAACAAGACATTTGTGTATCGTTTTTTCGTTCTTTCTTACCAAAAAATAAAAACTCTTTAATGTTCTACTCTCTTGGCATTGAAACCTCTTCCATTGCATTTATTTTTTCACAAATATGATTTTTCCTTTAGAAAATTTTTTATTAGTTTTTGCAACGTATAAGAATCTTAAATACTGACCGTGTAGACTCCTGCAGAGTGTCATTACTTTAATTATATGTATTATCTTTATTTTAAAAACTTTTTATGTAGAATATTGATGTTGCTGTATGAAATACCAATTACCTCCACGCGCGTAAAAAACCATCCGTTTTTAACTCGACTCTCCTTCATCTGAGGTAATTAATACAACAAGAATGAAATGTACACTCGCATCACACGGGTGATCGGTAACAACTACATGTATTGTATACGTGTATGTTTTTTGTGTTGTAGCTGTACGTAAATTTTTTGAATCCTGCTTGTGTTGTTTTTGTGAAATTTATTACTCAGTTGATGTTTGTTTGTTTTTGTCTATACTTTTCACACGATTTCCGTGCAGTTTGGCTTGTCGAGATTAAGTCTCGTGTACAAGCAGTGCATGAAAATCTGTACATTTTTACCATTCTCGTGTAGAAACATCCTGTAAAAGAGTTTGTATATGTTTGTGAACGCAATTTTATTAAATTGGTATTATTTTTACTTAGCAAACCAATGGTTTTGTCATCGTTTGTGATACTTGTGTAAAAAAGTTTGTAAAAAAAAGATTTTGATTCAATCGTCTAGTTTTTGTTGGTTCAGTTTGCCAAGTTAAAGTGTAAGTTTTCATGTATAAAAATCAAATTTGAAGCGCAAAAAGTGGATCAAATCTTTTTTTACTAACTCGCGTGCATCACCATCGTATTTTATAATCAAATTTCACGTGTATCCCATCACTCTGTCCCTCTTTTCAGAGCACGCGTATGAATGCACGTCCCCGTTCGAGCTTGTACTCCCCGTTCCGTTCGATGTGTTTTGTCTAGAGCTTGAATTCCATTTGTAGCTTATCGAGCGGATCTCACTTAGCTGTAAAAATTTTACGAGCTCCACGCACACTTCTTTCCTACGCTGTCCTCCACTTTTACGGCCATTTCGATTTAAAGTAGCCACCAAAGAGCCATCAATATCCACCGTTAATAAAGACTTTTCTGATGTCGACGCAGGTGCTCTACGATGGAAAGCTATCCACGGCAATTATGTTCATGTACAATCCGGTAGCCACGGACTCGCAGCTGTGCCTGCAGAGCGCGCCCAAGGGAAACGTTTCTTACTTTGTACATACGCCACACGCCCTCATGCTGCAGGTGAGTCGGTCGTGTACGCAACGACAAACCACCGAACCGACAAGGTGCCGTTGTTGGCTGCGATTTAACTACATCTCCTTCGATGGTTTTTTTTTTTTTTTTTTTTTTTTTTTTTTTTTTTTTTTTTTTTTTTTTTTTTTTT